AGCCCTCAGATTGCACCACATTGACAACTGTCTATTTCCCAACTTTAGACACAGCCCTGTTGATTACATACTAGCATGACGAATCTATAATTAACTTAATTCAAAACAACAATAAAAGTCACTCAGCACAAGGACTTGGTCTTAGTTTAATCACTGTATCCTCAGCACTGAGATTAGTACTTGCTCTCTCATAGACAAACACTTTTTAAATTAATGAAGTCACAAAGAACCATCACAGACAAACCTTAGCTATTTATTCTTTACAAAAGCAGGCATAGTTATTAGGTCAATATCAAGGTCTCAAGTAATAACTTATTCTCCAAATTTCTCCCAGAACATTTTTCTCCTTTCTTTTTTAACTGATTCTTGATTTCCTTGAAAAACTCTCTAACTAGAAAAGTTAATTTCCAACCTCAGTCCATTCATATATCAGAAATGTTTATGTAGTTTCCATAAGAACTCAGTCATGCTCATCCTCCAAAGGCAGACATGATGGTACACATGTAATCCCAGCACTCAGGAGGTAAAGGCAGGAAGGCAATGAGTTGGAGGTAGCCTGGGCTACACAGCGAGACCCTATCTCCTAAATAAATAAATAATCTTCAACAAAATTGAGTGATCCTGATTTTTCAGAATTCCCTGGACTATCTGATTTAAAGTCCTGCAATGAAATAAGTCTTTGCTAAAACATTTAGAAAGTAGAGAGAAATACTGTGAATGGGGAAAGGGGATGGTCCTACCACTCTTGGAATTACAAAGCTTCCATTCTCAGAGATGCTTCTAAACTCCATGAGTTTGAACAAGTTCCTTAATTTCAAGTAAACTTTTTTTTTTTTTTTGATGGTACTCCAAGTCCTCACATTTGCTAGGCAGGTGCTTAACCTCCTGGACCAAGCCCCCAGTCTTTATTTCTGTGCTTAGTTTTTGGACAGGGTCTCATGTTTATGCCAGAGTAGCCTGGACCACTTTACACTTCACTCATAGCTGAGATGACAGACACTGTGCCCAGCTTTTTTGGTTGAGCTGGCATCTTGCTAACTTTTTCCCCAGGGCTGGCCTGGATGATAAATCCTCCTGGTCTCTGCCTCCCAAGTAGCTGGGATTACAGGTATGAGCCACCATGCCTAGTCTTGAGTAACTTTGAATGTTTTGAATCTTCATTTTTTTCACCTGCAAATAGGGATAAACTTACAAAATCTATCTATGTGTTTTATGGATAAAATGTACATAAAATGATTTTTCAAAACAATAAAATGTCATATAAATGTAAAGTATTATCTTTTGACATAAACATCTTCAGATTTTAACCTGTGGTTTGTTTGTTTTAAGAGGAGATCTCACTATGGTGCCTAGGCTGGTCTTAAACTCCTGTGCTGAACAGATCCTCCCACCTCAGACTCCCAAGTAGCTGGGACAACTACTGGATACCCAGGGCCACATTTTAAATGGATTTATCTTTCTACCTCTCTGCCAGTCTTCCCATTTCCTACATCCACAGACCTGCCAGGACAGAGAGAAATTACAATTAGAACCAAAGCATAGTGGGCCATTACTAAATACTTGTTGAAAAAGATGCTCATCCTCATATTTTAGAAATCAAGATTCTGCCACATGAAAATATCCCGCCTTGTAAAAGTCAGTGAGCTGACTCCTTTCAAAGACAATAACAAATGCCATAACATGCACACACAAGAGACGCCTGTGTCTTTGTCAGGAGCCTCCCTGGTGCACATTACTCAGCATGAACACTAATATGTACCTGTGTGAATGAACAGTCACCCAGGAATGTGCTGCAGTGTTTTGGTTTCACTTGACACATGCTTTCTGTACAGCAAATGACTTCCTCTCCTGAACACTCACCTAGATGTCTAAAGATCCTGCATTTCTTTGGGCTTTACTTCCTATACTTCACTACTCACAGAAAACTTCTGGTGAATTCACGGCCATTTCTCAAACCTTAGGTTGTTCCTATACTAATCACAAGAAAAAAAAATGTTTTTGAAAACCATAAACATAAAGGTATTCTAATATTTATGTTTTAAGATTATTACCAGTCCACTAAAATTTGTCAAGTAAAAGCATAACTGTTTTTTAAAAACTTTTTTTTTTTTTTTTTTGCAGTTCTGGGATTAAACTCAGGGCCTCCCACTTGCTAAGCAAGCCCTTTACCACTACAGCCATGCCCCAGTCCAAAAGTGTTACTGTCCTAAATACAAAAGACCCTGGTCCCTCTGAACATTACATAACAGAGTTTAAGTTTGTTTCATGCTAGTTAATTCTTCATTATCCATACCCCCCCAAAAAAAAAAATCAGATGTATGTGTCATCAGTCATCCATTAATAATTTATATTAAGCTCCTGGAGAATGGCTTGGTATTTATATTTGAATATAAATATCCTTGAAATGCAAAATTCCTAATAGTGCAAATAATGAAACCACCTGTAAAAGTAGCTACCCAACTCAGGTTTATCTTTTTTTCTGTGCATTTATCAAACTACATTCTCCTGCTACAATGTGTTACTCTCAGTTACAAAAGAGGGATTTTATTGCTATTTTTGTCCTTTAGGTCTATTACAGTTCAAGGGATATTCCTGAAGTAAACCTGGGCTACAGAAAAGAACGTTTCCTGATGGTACATGTGGTGATGATCTAATCATAATCTTAAAACAACCCCCACCCAAGATTACACTGAATTATGTAACATTTAAAAGATAATTACTGCATGTTTGAGCAACAATCTACCTCATTTGAGGAAAAATCTCAAAACTGCATCCTAACCAGGAAAACTGCACTACTCATTTTAGCTATAATGAAATCTCCAGTGTTAGAGTACGGTCTAATTCTAATTTCTATAAAACCTTCAAAATAAAAAGCAAAGAATATGTGTAGCAGTGTAGCATGCTGGACCTACACCAGAAATGATAAGGCATTATCATATTACTGTCCAGGCTGTCTCCTGGAGAATGAAGACACACACAGAATGAATTCTCAATCAGCTCCAGGACCACATTCATGGCCTATCACAACTACTCCTGGTGCCTTCTTCAAATCCGCACACCAGTTCTGTAGCTTTATTTCAAGTGAACTGAAATAAGTGACCTGATCTGGCGGAAAGGGCAGGGGACCTCACAATCAGAAGCTCTGGCAGAAAGCCAGACTTTGCCCCTCTGGAGCCATGTGACCTTGAGCCAGTATTTAAGTCTCTTGAGCCTCAATTTTCTCCTCTGTGAAAGAACAAGACCATCAACCTGGAAAATCATTCAACAGATCAAGCTCTTGGTTTCTGTTCTCATATGGCAGATGTCTAGAAAATGGGTAATAAATTCTCACTGCTAGATGGCCAAAATGAAAAATTCACTGAGATTAGAAAACTATTTCTCCCCTGTGCTGGGGAATGAACTCAGGGCACCATACTCACTAGGCAGGAGCTCTACCACTGCATTACACCCCAGTCTGAAAAGCTTTTTAAAACTGACATTTACCATATCAAAGATGAGCCTCCACTATCAACACAAAGTTAAAACTGGCTAATTTTTTAATGTCTGAGTGCTCATATTCAAACCTCATATTGTCAAATCTTTTCAACTTTCTAAAGAAAGCTGCGTTTTAGAACCCAGATACAGCCCAGTTGTCTAAACAATGGGCTACATGATACACCACAGACTCCAGGCAAAGTCACAACAGGATGAAAAAAGAGCCTTCAGCCTCTCTCAGATTTCCTGGCCACTGTTATTTTAAAACTTCATCACATAAACATAAACAGGGGGAAAAAATCCCTTTCAGAGAAGCCCCATGGGTTATGATTTATGATCTTTGTAACATCTAACATTAGTTTACATTAAACAGTACAGCCATTAGTTTTTCTTGCTCATGTCTCTAGGCACTAACACTGAGATGTGTGTATATTCTATATTCTATATTTTTATGTATTCCCCAGTTTTAAATTTTAATCTTTTCTTAAAGACCATACTTATGTTCCTTTACAGTTATTTTTTGAAAATATGTAACTTAAAAACAAAATGCAAACGCGTGAGCAAATCTGCATGAGAGGAAAATGACTTGTTTCCCACTGTGCATGCAATTCCTGCACAACTGAAAAATACTCCAAATGAGCTGGCTATTTAAAAGTCAATGAGCTATTTTGAACGCCGGCATTGTTTCAGGCTCTCACTCTAGCCCACTTTGTAATATTTGTGACTTTCTAAATTTAATGCTGGAAGACACTAAGGTAATTTTTTTCACTAAACATTTTACAACTGGAAAACCACAACCCAAGACCCATATGAAGTTCAGTTAATTTGTACAGAAATGCTGTTTTTCTGCCAACCTTTGCACTATGACCAAGTTCAAGAATCACATTTTACGATGTGAAGATAGTTTATGCTAAACCGTAGGAGTTTGTAAAAATTTCGAAACTCTGGCTAGATTTGGACATAGTGTGTGCATACCACCAGAACATAACTTAGCACGTACAGTAGTCTATTAAATTAGAGCAGTGTTTGCAGTTTCCCACGAACACCTATACATTAGGATATAAGCATCCCCCACTACATACTTCATATAGATAAAAAGTGTTCCCTGAAACGGACGGAAATAAAAACGAGTGTTCTACCAATAACCCTGCCAAATCATTTCGTTCTTAAAAATACAATCCCAAAGTTAGAGCAGTAAGTTTTTATACTAACACATCATAAAGTTCTTTATCAATACTACATTTGTAAATTAACACACTCGAGAAACTGGACCGCCTAGAGACTAAAAATACAGCTTTACAGAATTCCAACCTGATCTACACGACTCAATTATTAATGGGATCATTCGATCTTCACATCTGAGAACAAAACTACACTCTTCCTGCATTGCATTTAAGCGAGTTTACAAAAGAGAAAATAAAACGATCACGAACGGCTCGGGTCCGAGCTGGGACACCTGAGTCCCCGGCTCTCGGAGGTGAGAGAGCCGCAGGGCCCCGCAGCCGCCCGCAGCCCAGGCCACTCACCGGTGCGCGAGCGAAGGCAGGTGCGCGGCGGCCGGGCTACCTGTGCCGGCGAGGCTGGGGGCGGGGCGGGGGCGCGGGAGGGACGAGGACCACGACGCGGCGGAGCGGCACGACCGGGAGGAGAGCGCGGCCAGGCTGCAGTCGCTTCCTGCTCGGACAGATCCCGGCCGTCTCCGCCCGCCGGCCGGCGCCCCGCCGAGTCCCCAGCCCCGCCGCGCGCACGTCACGGCTACGGAGCGCCCGAGGGGGCGGGGGCCCCGCGGCCGGGGCGGGACCGCGGGGGCGCGCGGCGCGGGGGGTGGTGGAGAGGGAGCCGCGTTCTCCGCGCGCGGCCGCCCCGCCCTGCGCTCGCTGCGCCTCCGCGGCGCCGGGAAGGAGCCTGGCCTTTCCCTGCCGAGCGGGGCGCAGCAGCCCGAAGCTGTGCGGGGTGCGAGCGGGCCGCGGACGAGAAGCGCGCTGCGCCCCGACGCCGCCGTGGGAGCCGGATGCGTGGTCTCCAGGCGCCAGGAAAAACTTCCCGACCCGCTCATTTGCTAGGGATCCGGCCAGAGATGGAAAGTTGGCATGTCACTGCCTTTGTCCCCCTCCCACCCGCCGCCGGATTTACTTTAGAGATCCTGGTGCTTCCGATTGTTTTAATGTTAGTGTCTTTGTGGCAAATCTGTGAGTCATCCTTGAAAGTCAAGTAGGAAGATCCTATGCAAATTTGAGTTACAATGAAAACATACATCGCCTTTACGATGAAAAGAAGCAATTAAGAAATTGAAACGATTGACTGCAACACTAAATGTGCTGAAAAAGCTAAGAGTACTTACACATGAGGAGTAAGTACCCTTTTCCGCGTTTACAACTTGCCACTTGGAAACTTCAGGGAATCTGGAAGGTTCAGATATTGAAACGCCCTACAGTTCCTACAGAAGGTGTAAAAGCTACCTTCTTATGAGAACATTTATCATACAACTAAAGCAGTAAGACCTTAATAATAAAATAGGGAAGTACGAAAGAGGAAGAGAAATCAAGAAAGGAAGTAATTCACAGCAATCTCAGTTTAATTCCAGATTTGATAATCTGACGGAAGTAAACCTTGAATACGCATGACTAGACTTAAAATCAATTCAAATGATGACTATTGCTGTGTATTTCAGTGCACTGTTTTGACTTAATTTTAATATTGAAGTCTTTGACAAGCCAAAAGAAGCGATTACATTTAACAATTTAGTGTGACTAATCACACTTTTCTGGGTTTTTTTTTTTCTCTCTCTCTCTTCTTTGTCCGCCACTTCCAATCCTTGCGTCTCTCTTTTGATCCACTTCCTCTTCGTAGCGACCTTCATTGTCTTTTTTTCAGAACATCATCTTTTCAAGTTTTGCATACTCATAGCCACCTATCCAGTTTCCCACACTGCAATCCATCCACTTCTAATCCAATCTACAATACCACCAGTTCATCTTTCATAAAATTAAAAATCTGGTTGTCTTTTCTACTTAAAGCCCGTAATCATGCTCTTGTACTCTTTCCTCTCAAGATGAATCGTTCCCCCCTCCCTTGCTGGGGATAGAACCCAGGACCTCAGCATGCTAGGTGATCCTTCTACCATTCAAGTACAGCCTCAGCCCTAAAATGTTTTTTAAGATTCTTCTTAATTTAAGTCACAAAACTGGCTGCTTTTGTTTGACTAGCATAGTGAGGGTTTCTTTTGCTTTGTTTTTGATTAATTGAATTTGAATGCCTTTTCATTGGTAATATGGTTCCCAGTTCGTCACGCTCCTAAACTCCACAAAGCTGTTCCACACACAATGTATCTTCACACAATGTTACCTGCCTGTCATGGAATCACTTGCATTTTGGACCACTGTCCTATCCCTGCTTATTTGGCCTGTCTTATTTCTACCCAATGCCTTTCTCTATTGCTTTACACTCAAGCCATTGTGAAGTGCTCAGTGTGTCCTAGAATAGACAGTTTTGCTATTTATTACATTGGAGTGTTGCCAGGCGAAATCCAAATGAATCGTTCAGAACAAACCCTATTTGTCCTCTCCAAGCTTCTTTCCTTAAAGTCCCTTGTGACTAATCTTAGGCATAATTTGTGCTCTTTCCCATCTCTCACTTGATACCTATTTACAATTTATCTTTTCCAACATATATTTCACTATTGCTACTTAAATTTACTTATGTGTATTCCCAACTAGACTGTAAGCTCCTTGAGGACAAAATAGACATTTCTTTGTGTTTCTAGTGCCAAACACAGTGGCTTCACATGGTAGGCACTCCTTAAACAGTGCCTTCCATTAATTAGTATTACTATGAATAAATGGGGTGGATGGAGGAACAAATGACTAGCAGTTGAAAATTCTAGGGAATTGTACATACTGTCATTAAGCATAGCAGTCTTGCCCAAACTGACCTTAACATTTTATTCAATATTCTTATTTATGAATTTTAAAACCTTGCTTTGACCCATGAATATCTGTAAGACTGTCATCTGGGTCTTCTTGTGTTACCCTGGGAATTTCTAAACTGAGACCCAGAGATCTATCATAGATGAGAGCTCTATAAACAGAATCTGCCCCCACCCTACCCCCACCCTCTGGCTCTCTGACTTAACCACGTGCAAAATTTTGTGGGTTTGCTTCTTCATGTTAATAGGAATTTATGAAGGATCTGTGCACTGTTCCTGGCTGATATCTTCTTCAACATCTTCAACTGCATCTATGTTGCCAACTCCTAAAGCAAAGTAGGTTGAACTCCTACAGGTATGGCAACCAGAAGTTCTAGGCCCAGAGGCCCAACTCCAAGGGTTCCAACATATCAGGACCAGCCACTTGTGACATTTGCCAAATAAAGAGATGAGTATTGGTGAAGGGCAGAGAAAGGAGACTTATTAACACTGCCACAGGAAGAGGCATACCACAGGAAAAGGCAAGGAAACACTTCAGCCCACTGTCTGGGGCACAAACAAGTGCTTTAGATTTAAATGGAGGAAGAATTGGGGTGTGGGTGAGAGGTATGTGTAATTAGGCTGTCCCAATAAAAGATGTAGTCCAGTTAATCATCTCAGAATGATCAGGTAGTATCCGGTCATGATAAGAAAGGTATTGTTGTCTCAGGACCAGTTCTGGCTCTGTCACAAGATGTTTATCCATTAGTCCTGTCTTTCCAGAAATTCCAAGGTGAATGCAAGGGAGAGACTCAGGAGGAAAAAAAAAAGGTTAAAGAAGCAAAAATAGTGCTCGTTTCAGCAGCACATATACTAAAATTGGAACGATACAGAGGATATCAGCATGGCCCTGCACAATGCATGAAGCGTTCCATGAAAAACAAAGAAGAAGAAGCAAAAATCGAGTCAGACAGGGATAAAATGGAGTTAATTAAGCCAGTGACCATGCAGTCCTTCAGCATGTTGGGGAAGCTCAGTACTTTCCTTTCCAAATGTTCAAGTAATTCCCTTGCCAACAGACTTCATTATGCCTATACTGTTGTCAGGCACCAGTTTCCTCTACTCTACTTTTAGAATCACCAAATCCAGTTCATTCTATGTTATAAATTTAATTCCAAATTGATGCCTTACTCTCTCTCTCTTAGAATAGGTCACCATCTTCTTTATCTGAACTCTTGATATTCTAGGCTATTCTTTCCTATACTCCTAGAGAGTTACTACTCTCCCAAAAATCTGATTATGTTACACCTTTACCAAGGCCAGTGCCTTTGGCAAGATTCTTTACTTAAGGAAACTTTAATCAGGCTTCTAAAAGTTCTCCTAGGGCTATCTGTGTACTTCTTTTAGCAAGCACCCCACCCTCAATATCTGATCAGGTTTTTCTACCACCTCATCCTCGTGATGTCTTATCACCTTATCACCTTGCCTTGTCCTCAGCTAGATCCTGTTAGGTTGCTTTACTCAGAATCTCTTTTACGTGTGGTGTTGTCTTTCAGTAATTTTCTATCTTTCTTTTTTTTATTGTGCTGGGTGGGGGTACATTGTGGCATTTACAAAAGTTCTTACAATGTATCAAATATATCATACTTGAATTCACCCCCTCCACTGCCCTTCTCTACCCCCCCCATTCCTTGAATAGTTTCAACAGGTATATATACTCCCCCTCCATTTTCTTGATCCATTCATCAGTAGTGGGGCATCTTGGCTTTTTCCAAAGCTTAGCTATTGTAAATAGTGCTGCAATAAACATGGGTGTGCTGGTGCCTTTGTTGTAACCTGACTCACATTCCTTCAGGATCCCTAGGAGTGGTATTGCTGGATCGTATGGCAGTTCTAATTTTAGTTTTTTGAGGAGCCTCCATACATTTTTCATAGCGGGTGTACTAGCTCACATTTCTATCAGCAGTGTATGAGGGTTCCTTTTTCTCCACATCCTGGCCAACACTTGTTGTTTGTGTTCTTGATGGTAGCCATTCTAACAAGGAGTAAGGTGGAATCTTATCTTTCAGTAATTTTCTATCTGCTGACCCTCACCCAGCACCTTTACTATAAATTCCCACTTGTTCATGCTGTGTTCAGAGTTGAGCCCAGTCTCTTTCTGTTAAATGCTACTGCCCGTTGTCCCTATGCATATCCTGATGGTCCCGAATAAAGTCTTAATTACTCTACTTTAACAAATATCGTGGAATATATTTTCTTTAACACCTTTCAGGTAAATTTAAATTCATTCATATCGTATTCAGAACACTCTCAAACACACCCTACAGTCATAGTTACAGGCTATGCCACTTCATGATGTCCCCTCAATCCTCAGAAACTCAGTTTAACTGTTGACTTCTCTCTCTTGACTCTGGCAAAATTAGTTTTTCTTTCCCCTATTTTCCAGAGCACCCATTTCATAGCTATATTGTAGCACTCGTTAAGCAGTTTTTACATCTGTTTCTTCCTCTAATAACCCTCCAAAATACTGATTTTAATTTGTTTTGTTTTGTTCTTTTTACAGTGCTGGGGATCACACCCAGAGTCTCGTGAACACAAAGCACACACTCTAGCACTGAACTCTACCCCAACACAAAATAGTGAGCTTTTTTTTTTTCAGTAAATTTTTAAAATTTTAAAAATTCTACCTAACCAAGTCGCAGTGGTATGCAGCTGTAGTCCCAGCTGCTTGGGAGGCCTGGTAAACAAAACAAATTCTTCCCTATTATTTCTTATCCCCAAAGATTTACACAGTACCTAATTCATTG